CTCAATTTCTTCCTTCCCTGCCTCTATGGTTGCTGCGCATACTTGGATTATGGAGATATTTATAGGTTTCCTGTGGAGCCTTATGGATATGATTCAGACTGATTTTGCATTGTACCCTTGGACTGCTTTTTCCATGTCTCTCCTTAGGATAAAATGCACCCCATTTCTTCTTGTCCATTCATTTCCTGAGTAGAATAATGTGTAGTTGTCTGAGTCAAAGACTTTATCCACAGTGCAGAAATAGTCCGGTTTGTCACCACCTTAACTGCCATGGCTCAATGCTATGGAATTCTGGGAACTGCAGTTTGTTGCAATTCCCAGAATTCCACAGCATTGGGCCATGGCAGTTAAAGTGGTGTCAAACCAGACTATTTTTGCAGTGTGGATGAAACCCTTATGATCCATTCCTGTCCGTTTAGATATTGGGAAAGCAAAGGGAAAGCATTGTCTTCCCAAATCAGAACTCTGCCCCCGCCCCCCGCCCCCAATTAAAATATCTGTAATTCCCAACATTTCTAGCATTGCAGTCACTTAAAACTCCAGCTGAGTATTTAAGCATCCCGAGAAAAGAGGCAGGACAAACAGTCGAGGGAATGTAAACACAGGAAATAGAAAAGTGTTCTTGGTGAGAACAGTTTTCCATGTCTCAGGGACCATTTTGCACTGCACAATTCTCGTGTAATGATTCCCCTTTAATGCCCCGTGGAATCCTTGGAATTATATTTCTGTGAGGCACCAGAAGAGCCCTTTGGAGGAGGATTAGGAAGCTCTCCCCCAAAAAACCTGCCAGTCCCCAGATACCAGGGGGATGCAATCGGGGAATTATAGTGGAATCGGGGTGTGTCCCTCTTTGCAATAGTAGAAATTTGGGGATTGCAGGTAAATTTCTCTGGGGGAAGAGAATCCTCATTGGGGGACCATGCCTCCATTTTGTGTCTCCCCCCCCCAGCCAAATTTCTACACCCCTGGCAAGGCAGGTGCATTGATGCAAGCTGCCCATTCTTGCATCTGATGTCTCTTAAGTATGCAGAGAGATCTTGTAGCACCTTTGAGACTCACTGAAGGAAAGAAAGAAATTGGCAGCATGCTTTCAGGTGCTACAAGATCTCTCTACATACTGATTCTGCAGACTATCATGGCTATATCTTTGATGTCTCTAAGGTTCATGCATGGGGAAGGCAACCCTTTTGGGTGACGTGGCTCCTGTGCCACTTTGCCTTGGTCTAGTGGTCCCACGGTCTCCCCACTTCTGCCGCTTTGTGACCCAGGTGTCCTTGTTCCTTTGTGGCTGGTCTCCCTGAAAGAGGCTCTTTATGACAACGGAGGAGGATGTAGGCTGGCGTCTGGCTTGCTCATTTCTCCTTCCGCACAGGGGATCTTGGGCAACGCAAGAGGAAGTGGTGTAACCTTGTCCGTTCCAAAAGTGAGTCAGGGTTGGAGGTGAGAGGGACATGTTGCTGGAGTCTCTCAACAGTGTTATGCAGCAGCTAAAAAGGCCATTGCAATTTTAGGCTGCATCAATAGAAGTATAGTGTCTAGATCAAGGGAAGTAATAGTGCCACTCTATTCTGCTCTGGTCAGGCCCCACTTGGAATAATCCTGTGTCCAGTTCTGGGCCCCACAATTCAAAAAGGATGTGGAGAAACTGGAGCGTGTCCAAAGGAGGGCAACTAAAATGGGGAAGGGTCTGGAAACCATGAATCCCTATGAGGAACGACTTAGGGAACTGGTATGTTTAGCCTGGAGAAGAGATGGTTAAGAGGGGATATGATAGCCCTGTTTAAATATTTGAAGGGATGTCATATTGAGGAGGGAACAAGCTTGTTTTCTGCTGCTCCAGAGAATAGGACCTGGAACAATGGATGCAAACCAGAGGAAAAGAGATTCCACCTCAACATTAAATCATATTCGCCTTCCTGTGTTAAGAGTTCAAGTTCGTCTCATTCCCAAGCTCTGTGAAGTTTGAGGATGGAGCAAGCTTTTTTCTGATGTCCAGAGAATAGGATATGGAGCAATGGATGCAAACTACAAGAAAAGCGATTCCACCTAAACATTAGAAAGAATTTCCTGACAGTAAAGGCTGTTTGACAATTGAACACACTCCTTCCTCGGAGATTTTGGTGGAGTCTCCTTCTTTGGAGGTCTTTGAACAGAGGAAGGATGGCCATCTGTCAGGGATGCTTTGATTGGGAGTTCCTGCATGGCAGGGGGTTGGACTGGATGGCCCTTGTGGTCTCTTCCAACTCTATGATCCTATGATTCTATGTCCTACTGCCCCTGCAACGGCCCCGATCTCTCGCCTTCCTAAATTTAGCAGAAGTTTTTGGAGTTGAAGATAGGAAGGAGAGCACCTTTCTTATAAGGAGAATCACCTCTATGATTTTCACACGCCAGGTGCCCTCACCACAACGGAGGACAAGGCATTGCAAAATGTAGGCAAAATAGCCGCCTTGAGCCCCTATACTGGAAGAAAGGTGGGATAATAATAATAATAATAATAATATAATGGGGCATTCCAAAATCAAAGCTAAAAACACTCCCAGGGATGTAAATTCATGCTGCTTAATCATGCTCAAAATGGAGGAGCTTTTAAAATTTCTCTTGGACAGAAGGTTGACTTGTAGGACTTGTCCTGGAAAAGGAAGACGCCTGGTCACCTAGCACACATATGCAAGCCAATCATCATCATCATCATCATCATCATCATCATCATCATCATCCTTGATTTGACACTGTACCCAGCGTTGCTGATTAGATTTTGGGACCATCATTGGTTCAGATTCTATGTCCAAGAATATAGGAATCCGTGAGGCATCACCGGATAATGTGGCCTCTTCCAAGTAGTACAGTATCACCCAAAATCCACAAAACAGGGATACCTTTATTGAGGCAACCAAAAGGCACTTCTGGATACCACCCGAACCGAGGGCAACAACCACAACATCTGGAGCAAACGCAGGGCTAGGGCTGCCATCACCTCTTTCCCCCTTTCCTTTCTACCTCCTGTTAGCGTTTTTAATGCCGGATGAAGAAGATGCCAGGGGAGCTTCGAAAGCTTGCAACATGTATTTTGTGCATTTTGGTTGGCCCAATAAAAGTATCCCTGTTTTGTGGATTTTGGATAATACTGTACATTGCTACATGGGCAACACAGCTACCCCTGGATGTGTTCCAAGCCGTGCCAGTTTTTGTAACTGTGCCATCATGGTCCAATATATAGCAATTTTGTTCAGAGATTGTGCCCCTGTTTGGGATCGCTTGCAGAGCAGCAGTCACCCACCGGAACTCCATCATGATCTTCATCATCCTCCTCATCCTCCTCATCCTCAGGCCTGTCTTGTTGGCCATTGGCGTCTGCATGCGCATGTGTGGAGGGCGCATGAGGCACCCTCCGAAGTGGGGAGCCAGGCATGGCCAGTTTCTGGTGGAGGGAGCCAGACAGACTGGGCATCTGATGGAAACTTTAACAATATTTATTTCTGTTATGGGTTCAAAGAGCTAGGCATACATAATTAATAGCAGATATGAGTAGTGGGGAAATTCAAAAAAGAAAAGCAAACAAAGTCAGCCTCAGATAACTTCTTTGATTAGGCGGCACCAGGGCTGGCTAGAAATAAATCCCTGGTTGGGCAGGAATTACACCCAGCCCCCCCCCCC